TGGACATTGCATGTGCAAACGGAAGCGAAGTTTCCCGTCAATACCCAATGAACCAAGGATATTATTATTACGAATATTAAAGATCTAAAGATTACCGGTAATCCTAGATCTAAACACGATTGTTTGCTAATACTAATAATTTTTTTTTAAAAAGTCTTTTTTCGAAAGTCTTGCGAAAATTTTCATAAAAATGTTTTTTTAAAATTGGTTTAAAATTTTTTTTTAAATAAATTCACACCCCCATTCTTCCGACAGACCAACCAACAAACAACACAGTAACATACTTTATAACCCCCATCATAACCAACATATCTCTTTTACTCTTCACACTACGATTTTTTTTTGTGTATAATGCACGAGAAATAATGTCTAATAATATCGGACCTCTAATTAAAGTTCTTTTAGAATTAAAATTGAGATTACCATTTCTTTTAGAAGGGATGAAACCATTTTGTAAAATTCCGACCAAAACGCCAATTATAGCTAATAAATTCATGCACCGTTTTGTGATTGATTGAATATTTTGTTTTGAAATTGATTTCACATTTTTTGTCACATCCTTTGCCACATCCCTTGCCGCATCCCTTGTCATATCCTCTTTTGACACCTTATTTTCCTTACTATCCTTATCAATCATGGAAGTATAATAATTATTTGTGTTGGTTGTAGTATCATTATAATAATTGTTCGTCGTATTAATATTACTATTATTACTATTGTCATTATTGTAATAAAAAGATCTATTATTGATCGTTTTTATATAGTTGTTATTATTAACATTATTCACAATGTTAACGTTACAAAAAATATTTTGACCAAATGAAGAAGGAAATGGAGTAGAATCATCATCATTTCTAGTATCATGTGAATAGGACGAATGAGAAGAAGAATTTGAGTACTCATCATAATAATTTGACCAATTATTATGAGTAAAATCAACAAAATCATCACCAAGTATTTCTTCAGAATTATAACTTGTAGTTGAAGAAATTAAAGGGGAAGGTAAGATTTTTTCTTTTAAATAATTCCATATTCGTTTTCTCCATATGGTAACCTCTTTTTTAGGAGCTTCTACAAATAAATCATTTCTACATTTGTGACAAGTAAAGCCATCAATAGTTTCATGATCATCACAAGAATAAGAATCCATTAAAGCGGTAGAAACAAATTTTTGTAATTCCAATTCTAAATTTTCACAACTTTTTTTATAATCACTTTTATGCTCAAGTTGATGTCGATAAAGACGTTTAAGTATAGCTAATTGATGTTGCTTTTTGTTGAAAGAGGAAGAATTTTCTTCAGGTATATCAGGTATTCCATAATTTAAACATTTTTGACATTTTTGACGAGAAGAAACGGAAACGGAATTACGTCTCGAAGGTCTTGGAGTAGTTCTTGTTGAAGCAGGTCTACTTTCTATGATTGACATATTATCAGGAGCTAAACAAAGTATACAATATCCACAACCACATTCCCAACCGGAAGTAGCAGAAGAACAATGATTCATTAACCAATTACTAACATTAGAACTTCTACTTGAAGAACGAGATCTTGTTGAAGGTAATCCTAAACATTGTTGAGAATGAGAACGATGTACATTATCGTTATTTGGTTTTTTTTGTAAAGCTATTTGAGCCTCATGGATTAATGTTTGTAGAGAAGTACATATTCGTAATAATAATATCCTTGGTTCATTGGGTATTGACGGGAAACTTCGCTTCCGTTTGCACATGCAATGTCCA